CCGATACACAAGATGACAGTGCATATTACATTAATCCAATTAACTTCACTTGTGCTACATCAAACGAACCAGCCACCCAAAGAATATAATTGGACACTTTGTGTGTGCAGTTTCCTTTTTCTGGTGCTGAGAATCAAACCCAAGGCTTCATGCATGCCAGGCAAGTCCTCTTCCGGCAAGCCATGCAGTCCTTCTTACATAAATAATCCTTTTTTGGGGGGAGATAATGCCATCTACAAAAGATAGGAATAGTCCAATTGGCTCGGTAGCCGTATTTTTCCTTATGTGTTAATTGAGTTTATAAATTAATTCTGAGGTTACACTTGGTAAATTGAGACTTGGTGAGGTGAATTGAACTTCCCAGTCTTGCGATCAGCTGAGAGGCTTTTTTAGCATGGGAGTATCAATGATTCATTTGAGACCTGTTACATTAATGTGGAAGCCTTCTGTCAGTGAAAATCAGGCCCCAAATATGTGTTCAGCAAAAATGTCCAGGCTGCTTTGGAAGCCGCTAGATCACAGACTTATTAGGGAAGTGTGTTCTCAGTGTAGTAAATGTGTTTACCGTGAGGAACGTCATGGGAAAGCAGCTTCACAGCTGGGATACGCACAAGTTACTGAGGGGCCTTCTTGGGAAACCAAAGTTTATGCCGGCTTCTGGGAAATAGCAGAAGCCTGGAGGTGTGGAACTTAAGAAGTAGCTAGGGTCCCTGCTAACAGCAGACTCCCCAAAGACAATATAAAAAAACTCAAACTTTTCTTTCTTAATATACAGCTTGATACTCCCAAGATAAAATAAAGGTGGCATTTGCCACATAGGTCAAATGTACTGATCCTTTATGGCATTATATAGAATAAAACAGTTCCTGAAGTCCTGGATATAGACAACAAAGCAAAATTCTTCCTTCTTTCAGTATCAGTATCAATATGGACTGCCACATGACATCCAAAGGTGATGTACCTGTCTTTTTAGCTGTAACTTCAATGGGAAGTCAATGATGACATATAGCAATTGGTTTGGTTTTATGTCGCACTCACACACTATTCAATGTCTATGTCACTAATCACAAGGGAAAGAAAATGAGAATAGGTAGACAATACAAGCAACTCCATCAGTCTCGCTTCAAAACAAAATGCATTTTTTATGAACTGTAGGAGGCTTAAAGTGCAGCCTGTGACTCAGCAGCGCTGGCATTTCCTGGAGCTTGTGTGTTTGTGGTGCTGCTGTATCCAGCCATACTGGGTCAAAAACCAGCATTTAAAACGTTTAAAAATTATTTTATAGCCGGGCATCGTGGTGCACGCTTTAATCCCAGCACTCAGGAGGCAGAGATAGGTGGATCTCTGGAGTTCAAGGCCAGCCTGGTCCACAGAGAGAGTTACAGAGCTAGTTACAAGACATCCAGGGCTACACAGAGAAACCCTGTCTTGAAAAACAAAACAAAGCCACTACCACCAACAAAAAAAGACTAAAAAAACAAAACCCCAGATATTTTTATGTGGGGGTGTTACATCTGTGTACCACACGTGTGCCAGGTGCACACAGAGAGAGGCCAGATGAGGACATTGGATCCCCTGGAACTGGAGTTACAGTCAGTTGTGAGCCACCTTGTGGGTGCTGGGAATAGATTGTGAGGATCTCTTGGCCATGTTGAGAATAATCCAATGGGTAGAGTGGGTGTAATCGGAGGCAATGAGATGTGTAGGGAGGCTGTTACAGCAACCCAGGAAAGACAGTCAGCTCGCCTGCAGGTGGTAGTGGAGGCATGGAGAAATGGTTAGGTTCCAGATGTATTCTGGAGATACATTCTAAGAATTGGATTTGAAGTGTATGAGGAAGGTACTTTCTAGATTCTTGGACATAGCAACTGGAAGAATAGGGTTGCTAATGACTAAAGTGTTCTTTCTCCTTAGTCATCTCCTTAGCCATTACTGCAGAACAGACCCTAAGGCATTATGTATGCCTCCTGACACGCTCTATCACTGAGCTATACTTGCAGTCCTTCCCCCAAACTTTGACATAATAAGTGACATGATAAGCCTGTAGACCCCAGCTTCCTAAAGTTTAAGTTGTGACATCGTTGACAACGGTAAAAGGCTTCTGGTCACACCACTGCCAAAAGACAATTTTAAAGAAATGCATAGTTCATCTGAGATGTTTCTGTACTGTGTGTTTCCCTGCAGTCTTGGTCCTGAACTCACAAGATAACACTTCTCATGAAGCCTGCGTGCCACATGGTGTGGGTGAATGCTTCCTGAAATACCTTAGCTCAGGTCCAAGATGGCTCTATGCTATGAATTGGATGTTTTTACTCTATGTACAAAGTTTTCTTCTTTTTACAGAGGCATAATTTTTTAGTTATGAAAAACAGACTTTTAATATTTTTCTGTCATCATTCCTTACCACGTAAGTATCACATTAGTATGTCTTTGGGTCATATTGTGTTAAAATTTGATCTTAAAAATTGCTGCTTAGAGGGCAGCAAGATGACTCAGTGGATAGAAGCCTGATGATCTGAAGTTGATCCCTGGGACCTACACACAGAGGGAGAGAACCAGCTCCCACAGGTTGTCCTATGACCTCTCTGTCTCTCTGTCTCTCTGTCTCTCTCTAGTAAGTAAGCAAATAGGTACATGTAAATTTAAAAATTGCTGTTTGAGCTATGATCTGAGTTTCATTTTAAAAAGCCATTATATGGGGGCTGGAGATTTGGCTCAGTGATATGAAGTCCATGACTAGCATGCATGAAGCTCCAGGTTCAATCCCAACACTATGTAAAGTAGACTTGGTAGAGCACTCTTAGCACTCAGGAGGTGGAAAATTAGTTGTTCAAGGTTATTATTAGTTTGAAGTCAGCCTTATATGTGTTTTTTTCGAGACAGGGTTTCTCTGTATTGTTTTGGAGGCTGTCCTGGAACTTACTCTGTAGACCAGGCTGGCCTCGAACTCACAGAGATCCACCTGCCTCTGCCTCCCGAGTGCTGGGTTTAAAGGTATGCGCCACCACGGCCTGATAAAGTCAGCCTTATATGTGTAAGACTCAAAGAAAAATCACTAAAGGAATTTTAAAATTAGAATTAGGACAGAATTTCAAACAAATTTTAAAATGTCTGTAGGCATACTTCTGCCATTAAAAAAAGTCTTTGTGTGTGTGTGTGAGTGTATGTGTGTGTGAGTGTATGTGTAAGTGTGTGTGTGAGTGTGTGTGTGTAAGTGTGTGTGTGTATGTGTGTGTGTGTACATGCCATGGCCTTCCTGTGGAGGTCAGAGGACTCTGAGGGGCTGTCTTCTGCTTCCACCTTGTATGAGACAGGGTGCCCTGATGTTTTTTCTCTGCCGTGTACCCCATGCTAGCTGACTGTCTAGCTTCAAGAAATTCTCCTGTCAGCAGGGCGGTGGTGGCACACTCCTTTGATTCCAGCACTCTGGAGGCAGAGACAGACTGATATATCTGTGAGTTCAAGACCAACCTGGCCTACAAAGTGAGTTCCAGGACAGTCAGGACTACACAGAGAAACCCTGTCTCAGAGGTGTGGAATGGGGTCAGGTGCAGTGTGATTCTTCTGTCCCCCCAATCTCCTCAGAGGGGCCCTAGGATATATAGGTGTGCACTACCACATCTGGTTGTGGGCTCTAAGGATTCAGAATCAGACCGTCACACTTGTGCAGCAAGCACTGATCTGCCCCCCCCATTCCATTTCTGCTGTGTTGTACTCCATATTTGAGAGAATATATATTCTCAGCATGGATGGCTATAAAATTAAAATGTAAATCAACTCTAAAAATAAACAATGAAAATGCTGTATGCTTTGCAGCATTAAATACTCAGTTAATATTTAATTTTATGTAAGATATACAAAATTGCTTTTGTCTTTGGTAAAATTACGTGTGCACCAGAGTGGTTTTAAAATAAATTTCATTGCCAGGCGGTGGTGGCGCACGCCTTTAATCCCAGCACTCGGGAGGCAGAGGCAGCCGGATCCCTGTGAGTTCGAGGCTGGGCTGGACCGACAGCCTCTAAAACAATACAGAGAAACCCTGTCTTGTAAACCAAAAAATTTTTTTTCATTATCATTTATCATCAGTAAATATTTAACTTATATTATCTATTTTATGTAATTATATACCCAGCGTCATGGAAAAAAGTTCTCAGGCAAAAGGTCATCTAGAGTGGAAAGTGCTTTTTTATATTTATTTTTATTTTACGTGCATTGGTGTTTCACTTGTATGTATGTCTCTGTGAGGGTGTCAGATCTTGGAGTTACAGACAGTTGTGAGCTGCCATGTGGGTGCTGGGAATTGAACTCAGGACCTCTGGAAGTGCAATCAGTGTTCTTAACCACTGAGCCATCTCTCCAGCCTGAGTGGGAAGATTTGCTAGAGGACAAAGGAGAAAGTACAGTTTAAAATGTGTTTTGTATGACACGCTGAAGGTGGGATTGGAGAAATGACTGCTGTCCAGAAGATCTTGGTTCAGTTCTGAGCACCCATTTGGTGGCTAACACCTGTCTGTAACTCCAGTCTCTATGTAGACACTGCATGAACATATGTGGTGCACACAGACATGCATGGTACACAGTCATAATTGGCATATAAAACAAAAATCTTTAAAAAAATGTGCTGGGCAGTGATGGTGCATGCCTTTAATTCCAGCACTCAGGAGGTCGAGGCAGGTGGATCTCAGTCTGGCCTACAGAGGGAGTTCTAGGACAGCCAGGATAGTTACACAGAGAAACCCTGTCTGGGGTTAGGGAGCTATACTGGGGGAGGTGTTGTTTGTTTTTTAATCCAAGCTCTCTGGAGGCTGAGGCACGAATATCTCTAGGAGTTCAAGGCCAGCTTCGTCTACATAGCAAGCTGTTACTGGCTAGCCAAGGCTACCTAGAGAAACCATGTCTCCCAGCAAGCAAACCTTGAAAGGATAATTTGCAAACAACTGTTCTTAAATCTGCCATGATTGAGTGAAAGTAGACGAGGGTAATAGTGAACAAAACTCTCAAACAATGAAAACTGAATTTTATTGAACACTCACATGTTGATAAGGGAGAGGAGGAAGACATGGGACACTTTCAAATCTTGTAAGGCCACATTTGAACTTCCTATCATGGAAAAGAAGCTGCACGTCCACATTGTAACAGCTACCTCAGTAGGCTAATGGTTTGGTTGCTTTGTGTTAACCCTTAGCCCAGGTGATCCTAGGGAAGGACACAGGCTTTGTGGCCTTGGGAATACGCCTCACCGCAAGAGATGAAGATGAAGGAAGTATAAGAGACACACAGACGCTGGAACACTGAATCTCAGAGACAAGGCCGACCACCTGACTGGAGCAGGAAGACCAAACTTTGAAATGGTTGTCTGCCTCTGTTTCCATTTTATTAAAGCCAGCTGGCTGGAAATCGGAAGGCAAATAAGTAGGATGTTAATCTGTTTCACAATAGTGTTTACAAATTTTAGATTTAAAGTTTTTCTCCTCCCTTAAAATAAAAATCTTATGAAAGTTGTGTGGGGATAATAAAACGTAGCCTTGACTTTTGCTTCTTTTTCTGAAAGACGGAAGCCATTCCAAGATCTTGGTAGAGCAATCACAGAGACAGTACAAAGGCACCAACACAAGTATAGGAAAAGAGATTTGTCTTGGACGTGTGTCCCAGGACCAATTCCACTTCCACAAAGAAATGAACCGAAATCCTCTCTAGATGTTACTACAGGGTCCCCGACCCTCCGCTGACTCGCAGAGGCGACACCAGGATAGGGAAGTTCCGTCCGCCCCACCTAGCAGGGGCGGGGCGCGACGTCAGCACGTCGGTCCCCACGTCCAGCTGGGAGACTACTGACCCGAGTGCCCAGGCTGGCGCCGGCCTCTCTCGGAGCCCAGGAGCCGAGCGCACTGCGGCTGCGCAGGCATGCCGGGGGCGGAGCTTCGGGGCTGAGCGGCCTTTGAGGAGCGGCTGCCGGAGGGCCGGGTAAATCCCGAGAGGCCGGAATGATTAGCCGAGGGGCTGCTCCGCCCCTGGCTCCTCCCGCCTCGCGTCGCCGCTGCCCCGCCTCCGCCTCCCGCCCGCTCCGCTTCGGGTTGACACGGGGCTTGGCCGAGGCCAGGGCGGAGGGCAGCAAGTTAGCCCGCGGCTGGGTGGCGGCGGCCGGCCCGGGACCGCGGTGAGGGGACGCGGAGGTCGGGCGGAGGCCGCGGCCGGGCGCCGAGCGGGAGGGAGAGGGCCAGGGTGCGTGAGGCGCGGGGCTGCAGCCTGAGGGGCGGTGGCTAGCGAGGGGGCGCGGCCGGCCCGGCTTCGGCCGGTTGGCGTGGGTCCCGGGTCGGGGGTCCCAGAGCGCTCGGGGCCGCGCGTGTGAAGTTGATTGGCACGCCTGGCGTTTGTCGTACTCGTTCTTAACGGGGACGCGGGGAGGAAATGGAAAGGTCCCCGGAACGCCGGGGGGCTCCCCCGGGAGGTGGTCCTTGCCTCGGTGTGCGAGCTCCTTTCTTGTTGGGTGGAGAGGTGGAGGCCAGGTAGACAGGGTGACTTTCACCGTGCGGACGGCTAAAACAAACAAACTAGGAATTCCTCGGGCCCTCCCCCACGCCCTGCCCTGCAACGCAGCAAACATTCCCAGCAACTTTGAAGTAGCAGGCGAGAAATCTCCGAGATTTGATATGTTTGGTCCGTGTCCCTGGTCTTTTAAGGTGAAGGGGAAGCACGTGAGTAGGGGGAGTCGTCTTTCTTCCCATCTATCGTAGTTTTGGTTGTGAAGATTTTAGTGTGTGATGTTGATGTTAGTCGCGGTGTACGGAACAGGAGTTTCATGTGAGATCTAATCAGATTGGAAATTTATTCCTTTGATTGGGTAAGCAAGGCAGACAAATATCTGAATTAAAAAAATGCGGCTTTAAAAAACCTTTGGATTATTTTTTGTATTTCACAGACCTATTTACCAGCCCAGTTACCACTGATGAAGATGTGTTGGCGTGTCTGCTGAAATTGATCCTTACTGGCCCCAGACAGTCTTATTTGTTCCACTTTTTATTGTTCTTATTATTATTTTTTGTTTATCCCACTGCTTTTGAATTTTATTGTAACGGCTGAGAAACTTGGAAAATAAAATAACATGCTGTGGTCTTGAACCTTCGTTTTGAGGAAATACTAAAGTGCCAGAGTAAAAAGCCACAATGGCAGCCAGAGAGAGGCTCTTTGAACTTTGGATGCTTTATTGTACAAAGGTAATTGCTTTTTATTTCTGTTCTTAAAAATACTTGATTATAAAATTTTGTACCCAGCATCAATGACCTTAATGGGTAGTGCGTTTGTTTACATTAATAATCCTCAATTGGGCTGGGCGTTTAATCCCAGCACTTTGGAGGCAGAGGCAGGTGGATCTCTGTAAATTCGAGGCCAGCCTGGTCTACAGAGTTCCAGGATGGCCAGGGCTGTTACACAGAAAAACCATGTCTCCAGAAAATAAAAATATCCTGAATTGCCTGGTGTGGTGACCCATACCATTAGTCCCAACATTTGAGAGGCAGAGGCAGGTGGTCTGTGAGTTCGAGTCCATCCTAGTCTGTTTAGATTGTTGCAGGACAGCCAGGGCTGCAAAGAGAGATCCTGTCTCAAAACACCCCCCCCCCCCCCCCAACAACTCTTTAGTCCTGAATTTTAAAACATGTAAGAGATTTGTGTTTCCCATATTTTTTCGGATTTGAGTACGTTGACAATATTGGCCTAGCACTAAAAGCTTACAGATATATATATATATATATATGTTATCAATGATCTCAAAACTATATAGATAAGATTGTGCCTATAGAAGGAAAATAAAATTCTCATCGTGTGTAGGATGTGTGGGGGACAAGGGTGCCATGGTACTTTTCTAGAGGTCAGGGAACAACTTTGTGGATTTGCTTCTCCCTCTCCACCTTTTCGTAGCTTTCTAGGATTGAATTTAGGTCTGCGGGATTGTCTGGCAGGAGTTCTACCTGTTGAGCCATCTTACCTGGAAATATTTTATTTTTATTCTGTTTTTTTTTCCCCTTCCCTCAATTGGGTGGGAAGACTCTTTTGTGAGGACATTAAACTTTTTCTTATCAGCCTTTTATGAAGGTTATTGATTGAGGCGGTTATGTGGTTATCATTGTGTTAGCACATACTGGCAGTATCTCATTTGATAGGAGAAAACTGGTGTAGGTTTGGGTTTAAAACCCAGAAGTACCTGATTCAGGTCTCCATGCTTTTAGCCATTTTGACTCTTTAAGAAGATTTTTGCCATTCAGAAAAAATTTTCGTTGACTTCCTTCATGTGGGTTTCTGCATAGAAAGTTAGATTTCAGGTCATTGAGAAGAGTGCCACTTAAGGGTTTCTCAAGTGAGGTTCCATATTACTGCTTTGAAGATACTGGCAATGGTCAGAGGAGCCTCTTCAGTCGGTTCAAGTTAACTTAGGTAAGTGTGGTTATGCTCTCAGGTCATAGCCTGTGGTTCTGTGTTATAGATCCAGGTTCATATATATATATATGATCTCAGCTATTTAAAAAGTAAATTATCCCTTAAAAGTCATCTCATTTCACTGGAATTCTCCTTAACTTCCTGGTTAGATCTCCAAGTTAAGGGCTAGCCTGATCTACATAAGAGAGTTACAGGTCAGCCAGAGCTACATTATTAAAGTTTATATCTGTACATAGATTTGTATACAAACATGCACGCACATACATACTTCAAAATGTTAATATGAAATTTCAAAATGGCTTTTAGATTTATGTAATTGACAGAAATAGCTTTTTAAAAATAGACAGCTCTTCCAATAAAAAAGGAATCCATTTTGTTCAGACACTTTTGAACATAGTCACTAATTAATACGCTAGCCAAAAGTTAAAATGAAATTTTAATATAAATGTCCAATAATTTGAAAATGACTTGTTAAAAAATATATTAAACTTACTTATTTTCACTTTTTTCAGAAGAAAAAGTAAATGAGGTTATATTGTTCTACTAATTATGTTTTTTTCTAGGTAGAGTGAGTTCATATTGAAAAGATTATATGTTATTGACATACACTGATTTTTTTTCCAAATCTTACATGAATCCTTTTGCCATGAACTCTATTCTTTTTTTTTCTTTTTTTTTTTTGGTGGTACTAGGGATAGAATTCAGGGCCTTGAGTATCCTAAACAAGTGCTGTGTTCCTGGGCTCCATTTAATCTCTACTGTCAAATTCTGTAGCCTATCTTTTTGACAGAAAGATAAATCTGACTTTTATGATTAAAATTAAACCATGCTTTATTTATTTATTTATTTATTTATTTGAGACAGGGTTTCTCTGTATTGCTTTGGAGCCTGTCCTGGAACTCACTCTACAGACCAGGCTGGCCTCTACCTCCCAAGTGCTGGGACTAAAGGCATGTGCCACCAACACCCAGCTACCATGTTTGCTCTTAATAACATTTTTGTTCTTGTTTCAAGAGTGACTGTTTAAAAAATTGTGGGTATATATATATATATATATATGTGTATGTATATATATATAAAACCAGTTCATGGATAGATGAACTTGTTAGATAATAACTTCTACACTTTGAATCAGATAACTACCAAGTTAATCTCAGATTAAACTCATCTCCCTACTGAGGTGCATCACTGGTCTTTGGCCTCTTTCCAATTGCTCCTACTCTAGTTTTGCATTTTCTACTTTTATTTATTTTAGCTTTTCCAGATAGGGTTTTTTTTTGTGTTGCCCTTGGTTATCTAGGATAAAGGCTCTTGCTCTCAAGTCTGACAATATTTTTTTTAAAGATTTATTTATTATGAATGCAATACCCTGACTCCATGTAAGCCTATACGCCAGAAGAGGGCACCAGATCTCATTACAGATGGTTGTGAGCCACCATGTAGTTGCTGGGAATTGAACTCAGGACCTCTGGAAGAGCAAGCAATGCTCTTAACCTCTTAGCCATCTCTCCAGCCCCACCCTTGGTTATCTAGGAACTTGATCTGTAGACCAGGCTGGCCTCGAACCCAGAAATCAGCTTGCCTCTGCCTCCCAAGTGCTGGAATTAAAGGTGTGTGGTACCACCTCCCGGCTGCATTTTATACTTTGGATGAGTTTTTGTACAATTTGATGACTCTTGAGACTTTAACTAATTTTCTACAGTTTAGTTCTGAGAGCTTTTTAACCTTTGTGACTGCTTGTCAAACTCAAGTTTTTCTTTTATTTCTTTTTTTTTTTAAGATTTATTTTTTGTGTTGTATGGATGTTTTGCCTGCATTTATGTCTTTGTACCACGTTCATGCCTGGTGCCAATTTGAGTCTAGAACTGTAATTATGGACAGTTGAGTGCTGGGAATTGAACCTGGGTCCTCTGGAAGAGAAGCCAGTACTCCTAACCCTCCTAACCTCTGAGCTATCTCTTCACTTTTTTTAATGGTCTTGACCTTTGAGAGATAAGTAGGTTTGTTTTGTTTTTGGTCCTTACTCTGTGAATTATTCTAAAAAGCCTCTCATTCTCCTTGAAGCTTTTGTTATGGGTCATTTTAGGCATATACAACAATGAAGAGTGGCTAGCTCTGCACTCTTAATCTTCAGGCAATTTTTATTTGTTAGATCATAAACAAAGTATCACCACATGAATCTCCTTGGGCTTTTAAAAATTGCTTCTCTTTGGGTTTGGTTGTCTGTGAACTGGCAAGTGTAGAACCTTGATTCAGGTTCTAGTTTGGGTATGGAAGGCTATAGTAGTTCATAAATGCAGCCTTCACCAATGATTTTTACCTATTTTATGAGGATCTTGTATGACTAATGGTCTATCACTTTTTCATTTGTTAGGAAATGTAGAGAAATGACCTTTCATTATTTGTTTATGACTTCCTTAAAAGAAAGTAATTTTTAATGTTTGATTCTCTTTGTCAATTTCTGGAACAATGACCAGTTTTTCTGGAGTACCAAGTTTAGTTTTTTTTTAAAATTAATTATTTTTTGGATAGAATCTTTTTAAAATTTAAATTAGAAGCAGTTTTGTTTTGCATGTCAATCCCAGTTCCCACTCCTTCCCCTCCTCCTCTGCTCCCTACTGACGTCCTATTAATTAATTAAATTTTAAGAAAGAATTCTGGGGCTGGAGAGATGGCTCAGAGGTTAAGAGCACTGGCTGCTCTTCCAGAGGTCTTGAGTTCGATTCCCAGCAACCACATGGTGGCTCACAACCATCTGTAATGAGATCTAGCGCCCTCTTATGGCCTGCAGGCATGTAGGCAGAACACTGTATACATAAAAAATAAATATTAAAAAAAACCAGAGAATATGGTATAAAAAAGAAAGAATTCTGTATTATGTATAAAGTGTTCTGCCTGCATGTATGCCTGCACACCAGAAGTGGGTCCGGATCTCATTACAGATGGTTGTGAGCCATGATGTTGCTGGGAATTGAACTCAGGGCCTCTGGAAGAGCAGCCAGTGCTCCTCACCTTTGAGCCATCTCTCCAGCACCCCAGGTTTATTTTTACTGATTAAAATTTAAGCAGTATTTACCATTTTGCTTTTTTGAGCACTTGATTTTTTGAGTACACGAAACATTACATGTATACCTGGTTAAAGAAGAAATCTTTGAAAATCATGTAGGTCTG